TCTAAATCCTTACATATCTGAAAATGCATTCTAGCCTCATTCTTGGCTGATAGCTTTCCTGAGTATAAAATGTGAGACTGAAATAATTTACCTCATAATTTTGAAAGCATATTCCATTATTTGATGGCCATCTTGAGCTGCCAAGGGGAGGTTAAAATGACTGCCTGATTTTTGTTCTTCTGTAACTAATCTTGTTTGTTTTTTCTGTCTCCCTCTTTGTAAATTTTTTAATGTTTTCTTTTATATATTTTCTGAAATTTTATAGGGCCAGGTTGAGATGAGTCTGTTACCTATTCAGTGTTCTGAGCAACTAGTATCATTCAGCTCTGGGAATTTATTTTTTTTTATGTCTTGATTTAGTTATTGTCATTCTTTTTTTTTTCTTTTCCTGTTCTGTCTTCTGAAATTCCTGTTTGTCAAAATCTCAGATATTTTGGGTTGATCTTCTAGGTCTTTTTCCTTTTCATTCATATTTTTCATCTCATAGCCTTGATGTTGTACTTCTTAAAAGAAAGAGTGAATGGATAGAGAGCTGGTTTTCGTCTGGAGGACCACCAATGCCAGAATTGCTTCGGGGAAGAAATGCTCATTCTCACTGCTCTGGCTTTGAATTTGTTCAATTTATTTATAGTAACACGTTTTGGTTTGGAGGTAAATTACTGACCATCAGGTGTTTTGAATATAGGTTTGAGTGGAAGTGGACTCTTTCTAAACAGATTTTCAATAAACCCTCTTGGTTTCAGCCCAGTGAATCATTCTTGCCCTCCATCAAAATTGGTATAATTGAATCTCAAACTCCCCCAGAGTCTTACATACGCTAGGATGTAGTTTACTCTTCCCTGCAATCCCTCAGCCATTTTCTGTCCTCCAGAAATTTGTTAAAATCTCTCCTTTCTTTGTTGTTGATCGACTTCCGCTCTTTTTGATTTTGTGATTAATACCTTTAAGACATTTACTATAATTTTAATGGGGTTTTTAAAAAGAGAAAAAATAAATGAATATGGTCAGTGACTCATCTTGCACCAGAATTCTCTGACTCACTTTAGAATAAGACACATCTTATTTGTCTTGCACATTATGCAATAGATTTCTTTTTTTATTTATGACATCTCAAAAAGCATCATTTTGGAGCATGCTAAATCTCTTTGAAAAAAATGAAAAATAATAAAGAGAAACTTCCTGAATGAATTTTTAGAAGAGTAAAGGTCAGCAGGGACTGATGGGTGAATAACAGCACCAGGAAGGCCAAAAGAATGGAAGTATAAAATTCCTGCTCCAGAGTCTGATTGATTTTATTTCCATTTTAATTAATTTGTGTGTCCAATGAATAAACATTTATTGATTACTTAGTGTTTCAGTGTTCTTTAGGCATTGCTATAAATTAATACACACACACACACACACACACACACACACACACACTTGCCCTTCATGGAATCAGAGTCTAATAAAAGGATATGATGCCCATTATTTTTTTTAATATTTTATTTATTTATTTGACAGAGAGAGCACAAACAGGGGAAGCAACAGGCAGAGGGGGAGGGAGAAGCAGACTCCCCACTAAGCAGGGATCCCAATGCGGGGCTCAATCCCAGGACCCCAGGATCATGACCTGAGCTGAAGGCAGACAGATGCTTAACTGACTGAGCCACCCAGGCGCCTCCATCATGCCCATTCTTATACCATATGACGACTTAGAGCTATAGTAAAGGTTAGAGAATGACCCCTGCTTGAGCCATAAAATCCTAAATAATTTATTAACTATCAAGTGGCTATTATATTTGCCCACAACTGTTTAAGATATTAGCCATGATTTCCACCAGAAGGATTTACCATCCAGCAGTGAAAGAGATTCATGCATCCAGAGCTTTGGCTTTGGAATCACACAAACCTGAATTTTCATCCAAAATTTTCCACTACTCACTAACTTTGTAAACTTACAGAAGTTGTTTTGCCTCTCTGAGACTCGATTTTCTCTTTTGTAATATGAGTAATAAAACTACAGTAAAAGTTCCCTTAATCAACTCTCCAGATTCATGAAGACTCTTCTTTCACCTTAAGACATATTGACTGTTGCTTAATCATGCTGAAAGCACACAGTTCACAGGCTACACAAGATGATGCCCCTCCAACCAAGTTACACCTACCAAGATACAGTTGTGTTTGTTTTTAAATATATTTATGTTGACGTTAGTTATTTTAATTACAAAAAAATTAAAAATTTTATTACCAGTGAAATATGAAGGCAAAAAGTAAAAGACAGGTAACTTTTCAAAAATACCACCAAATTAGTTGGTTAAAATATGTGTGTGTGTGTGTGTGTGTGTGTGATAAAGTTGGAAAAAATGGTGTGGAGAAGTTGTAAAACTCTAGAAGGATTCTATACTCAAAATGTGTTGCAGGTGCAGTTACATCCTGGATATTTCAGATGTCATAAATAAGGCAATAGGTGTAGTTTATGCAAAAAAAACTAAGGGAGTTTTAATCAATGGACTCATGATCAAAGACAAACCCTTGACCTTATGGATGACATGTGAATAAAGTGTTATATGTTTAGGATTAAAATAAAATTTTGTGGAGTGATGGGGTGGGTTAATTAGAACAGGTATAGCATTTATTATAGTACCTGGCACATAGACAATCCATTGAGTGGTGGCATTATTGTTGGTAGCTAAGGACAGGTATTATTTTATTTGATAAAATATTTATTAAGAGTCCACTCTGTGCCAGGCCCTGAGCATACAATGGTGAGAAAAAAAACAACAACAACAAAACAACCCTGGACACTGCCTTTATGAATCTTAGAGGGAGAGCATCTATTTGATGAAATCATCACACAAAGCCATAATCTCAATGTAAGAGAAGGGCTATAAAGGAAGAATACAGTAGGGGGACCTGATCTGTGTGGAGGGTCACCAGGAAGTATCCTTTGAACTGAGTTCTGCAGCAAGAGTTCAGTGAGGTCAAATCTAGCAGTCCTTTGCAGGCCATGAGAAGAATTTGGGGCATTAGCATAATGCAGTGCAAATTCAGAGGTGACAATCTACTTTAAGATCAAATTGCATAAAACATCTCCATTCCCTTTGAAATCCTATATTAGTTAGCTGCTGTAAGAAATCAACACCAAAATTTCAGTGGTCTGACACAAAGTGAAATTGATCTCTTGCTCAGTAATAGCCTTTGGAAGATATTCCTGGCTGGTGGGAGGCTTTCCTCCACACAGTGATTCAGGGACTCAAGCTCCTTCCATCTTATGACTCTACCATCCCACCAGAACTCATCAACCTCTGCACCTCTGCATTCAGCCGTTATAAGGGAGAGAAGAGCAAGGAGTAGGTACACCCACTTACTGAAATCTGACTTACATCACTTCCACTGACATTCCATTGATGAGAGCTAGCCTATGAACACAGCGGGTAAACAGAAGAATGTAGATCAGCTGCTTCCCAGGGACAGCTGCTTTCTATGGTAGGGGAGGACCATCTGTAGTATCCAACTCTGCCACAAACCACTTAACATAAATTAACATTTTTGCCAAGTAAGTTTTTCCTTTTATCTTGGAAAATTTCCCTTACCCCGGGCTCAGTCGGTTAAGCTTCTGCCTTCGGCTCAGGTCATGATCCCAGAGTCCCAGAATCAAGACCCACATCGGGCTCCCTGCTCAGCAGGGAGTCTGCTTCTCCCTCTGCCCCTCACCCCACTCTCATGCTCTCTCTCTCTCTCACTCTCTCTCTCGAATAAACAAATGAAATCTAAAAAAAAGAAAGAAAGAAAGAAAGAAGAAAAGAAAATCTCCCTTACCCCAATCTCAGTACATTCTCTGAATTTGAGTTAGTGTTCAGTAACTCATGTGGATCTTTTAAAAGGCATAGCAAATATTAGATTTTTCTTTTAAATGCAATGTACCATAATACACATTCATGTATTTGGTGGGCCTACTAGTCTGAAAACATAGTAGCTACCATTTTTGCTAGACCATATTTGGATGGTCTGAATTCTTCTAATTTTTGATGCTCTACCATTAATGAAAATGTTTACTGTGTCCAACTAACATTACTCCTGGTCATTACCAAATGAGGGATGGTGTCCTGAGTACTTCTTCCTTCAGCTACACCAAGCATACTTTAAAAACTTCCACCAATACTCAGCAACCCCCACATATATACACAACTACAATCTCCTCCCCCCAAAAAACAGTAAATTTTAAACCTGTTGTTATGTATCTTTTCCTCTACCAATTTGTCACCCAATTTTGAATGGGTAAGAGAAGAAAAACAAAAAACTGTCTGTAAAATCTTCTTTAGATTCTCTAAACTCAAGCCCTCGAATGAAGAGGTTCTGAACTCCAGTTTCTCTCTCAAGTCCAATTCTTCCTTCAAATAGGTTTTGCTGGGTTTAGATCTTATCATTCATGTTCATAGACGTAATGAAATCTAGCACATACCATATTTTCCTTTTGTAGAATAAGATATGACTCTTGGATATAACATCAAAAGTACAGACCACAAAAGTAAAAAAACACCCAATAAGTTGGACTTAGTCAAATTAAAAACTTTAATTCATCAAAGACACTACCAACAGAGTGAAAAGGCAGTATGTGATGGGGGAAAATATTTGCAAATCATATATCTGATAAAGGGTTAATATCCAGAATATATGAAGAACTGCTACAGCTCAACAACAAACCAATTAAAAAATGGGCAAAGGACTTGAATAGACATTTCTCCAAGAAGTTACATAAATGGTTCATAAGTGCATGAAAAGGTGCTCAACCTTGCTAATCATAAGGGAAATGCAAATCAAAACCACAAGATACTACTTCACATCCATCAAGATGGCGATTATCAAAACAAAACAAAACAGAAAACAAGTGTTGATAATATGGAGAAACTGGAACCCCCATGCACTGCTGGTAGGAATGTAAAATGGTGCAACTATATTGAAAACAGTATGTGGTTGGTTCCTCAAAAAAGTACAAATAGAGTTTCCTTCTGCAACAGGCGTGGGTCACGCTCTCGCTCGCTCTCTTTCTACCGCCATCTTGGTTCCGCATTCCCCCCACAAAACGCCTGGTGAAGTCACAGAAACCGTCCCTGCTACAGAGCAGGAGTTGCCACAGGCCCAGGGTGAGACAGGGTCTGGAACAGAATCCGACGGTGATGAATCAGTACCAGAGCCTGAGGAACAGGATTCCACACAGGCAGCCACACAACAGGCCCAGCTGGCAACAGCCGCTGAAATCGATGAAGAACCAGTCAGTAAAGCAAAACAGAGCCAGAGTGAAAAGAAGGCAGGGAAGGCTATGTCCAAACTGGGTCTTCGACAGGTTACAGGGGTTACAAGAGGCACTATCTGGAAATCTAAGAATATCCTCTTTGTCATCACAAAACCAGATGTCTACAAGAGCCCGGCTTCAGATACCCACATAGTTTTGGGGGAAGCCAAGATCGAGGATTTATCTCAACAAGCACAACTAGCAGCTGCTGAGAAATTCAAAGTTCAAGGTGAAGCTGTCTCAAACATTCAAGAAAACACAGAGACTCCAACTGTACAAGAGGAGAGTGAAGAGGAAGAGGTTGATGAAACCGGCGTAGAGGTTAAGGACATAGAATTGGTCCTGTCACAAGCAAATGTGTCAAGAGCAAAGGCAGTCCGAGCCCTGAAGAACAACAGTAATGATACTGTAAATGCTATAATGGAATTAACAATGTAACCATCTGAAAACGAGGACTTTTTTTGGTGTTTCAAAAGAATAACTGCAGCTTGGTTTGAAATTTGTACTGTTTCTATCATTAATAAAGTTATGGCTTCTTGTTGGATGAAAAAAAAGTACAAATAGAATTATCATGTGATCTAGCAATTCCACTTCTGAGTATAAACACAAAAGAATTGAAAGCAGGGGGCTCAAACAGGGATTTGTATATGCGTGTTCATAGCAGCATTATTCACAAAAGACGGAAGCCACCCAAGTGTCTACCAACAGATGAATAGATAAAAATATGGCATATACATACAATTGAATATTTTTCGAAGCTTTATTTATTTTAGAGACAGAGAGAGCAAGTGCGGGGAGGGATGGGGGAGGGAATCTCAAGCAGATTCTCTGCTGAGCGTGGAGCTGGACTTGGGGCTCGATCTCAGGATCCCGAGATCATGACCTGAGCCAAAGCCAAGAGTCAGACGCTCAACCGACTGAGCCACCCAGGCGCCCCCACACCATGGAAGATTTAATCAGTCTTTCAAAGGGATGAAATACTGATACCTACAACAACATGAATGAATCTCGAAGACATTATGCTGTGAAATCACCCAGTCACAAAAGGACAAAGACCATATGGTTCCACCTATATGAAGTACCTAGAGTGGTCAAGTTCATAAATACAGAAAGTAGAACGGTAGTTACCAGCGGCTGACGGGAGGGGAACATGGGGACTTAACACTGAGTTACTGTATGAGTACAGAATTTCAGTTTGGGAAGATAAAAAAGTTCTGGAAACAGATGGTGGTGATAGTTGTACAGCAACACGAATGTGGTTATTGCACAGAACTTTTACTTAAAAGTGGTTAAAATGGAGGGCGCCTGGGGGGGGCACGGTCAGTGAAGCATCTAACTCTTGGTTTCGGCTCAGGTCATGATCTCAGCATCATGGGATCAAGCCCCCTGTTGGGGTCCACACTCGGGAGGTCTGCTTGAGATTCTTTCCCTCTCCCCTTCTGCTCCCCCCCCTATTTACATGCTCTCTTTCTCTCAAGTAAATAAATAGAATCTTTTTTTTTTTTAAGTGGTTAAAATGGGAGGGAGGGAAGGAAGGAAGGGGGGTGAAGAGGAGTGAAAGGAAAGATATGATACTTGAGACAAAGTCCGGTGGAAGCCATGGCCCCAAACAGAACTTGACATCCTAAGATGATGATGTCCCCTTTGCTACAAAGGGCCAAAGCTTTCAGCGGGAAGCCCTTGGATCCCCTTATTAACCAGTAACCTGGACTTGTTTTGTTGTTAAAGCTTTACTGCTGAGCACAGGGCATCTGGAGCCTCTCATAACCACCCACCCACATGCTGAAGCTTGGGTCGGTTTGTAAAAACAGTTCAGTAGAGTTCATGCCAGTGTCCTTCATATGTTTTTATCTTTCTTTTTTTTAATTTTATTTATTCATTTATCAGAGAGAGAGCACACACAAGGGGAGCTGCAGGCAGAAGGAGAAGCAGACTCCCCGCTGAGCAAGGAGCCCAGCACGGGACTTGATCCCAGGACCCTGGGATCAATGACCTGAGCCGAAGGCGGACACTTAACCAACTAAGCCACCCAGTCATCCTGGGCTTTTTATCTTTCTGACCAAAAAAGATAAAGAGTATATAATATTTAAGTTAAACTAAATATATATATATATAGTAAATATAATATATATAAATGTAAAGGGTATACAATATTTAATTTAAGTCAGTATTCAAGTCTGGTCTATATTCTTATTCTCAGCATGGTTATTAAATCCGAGAAGAAGAAGGAAGAGGAGAAGGAGAAGAAAAGACAAAGCCATGGATATCCCAATGTTAAAGGCTGAGTCACAGTTCACAGCATACCAGGTAGAAAGAAGTCCGTAGCTTTAACTGCTAACTGTCATTGTGTGGTTTGCAGACCTAAGAAGTTTCCATTGTTACCCATTTCTTATTGATGTTAAGTCCAGCCCGCTTTGTACTCTTCCACAGTGGAATAATACTTATGCCTTCCATGTATGTCCTTTCTGCTAGTTGCAGTTGTTTTTCTACTATTATTTATTTGCATAATTAACACACTGATTTGTTTTGTCTTGACAGCCTGGGGCAGTGGTACTAAGGGTACACATTTTTAAGTCAAACAAATACACGGACCTTTTGAAAATGAATCATGCTAGATTCCTTTCTTTTCAGATTCCCTTGAAATCAGATAATAGAGATTCTGGGAATCATCCACTCGAGGCCAAAAGAAAAGGTTTTATAGCCAATGATGATCTACATAAACTTTAATGCCCTTTAAGATCATCTGCCTCATACTATGTGCTGGTTAATTGAATTTAAATTAAAAAAAGAAAGAAAGAAAGAAAGAAAAAGATCATCTGCTTCACGGTCAGCTAATTTTTCTCAGAATGCCTCTGAGATGAATGTGTGTATGCTCATATTTCCGCCAGTAATAAAGGCTAACAAGGTGTGACTCTGAAAAATACATTGACCAAGGTTCTCTACCATCAGGTTACAGGGGAGGGTGTTGGATTGTTCATAAAATGCTTTCGATCTTTGCTGAGACTATGTTGCTAAACCAGCCAGACTTCAGGATTCAGAAAACCTACTCTGTGAAGCCAATCTGAAATTCACAATGGTCCTGATGAAGGAAGAGTAAGTTAAATTGGGTATGTAGAGGCCAATTTTTTTTTAAATAAAGAACATTTGGGGTGCCTGGGTGGCTCAGTCATTGGGCGTCTGCCTTCGGCTCAGGTCATGATCCCAGGGTCCTGGGATCCAACCCCGCATCGGGCTCCCTGCTCCGCAGGGAGCCTGCTTCTCCCTCTCCCACCCCCCCGCTTGTGTTCCCTCTCTCGCTGTGTCTCTCTCTGTCAAATAAATAAATAAAATCTTTAAAAAAAAAGAAAGAAAGAAGAGAGATAAAGAAAGAAAGAAAGAAAGAAAAAGAAAGAAAAAGAAGAAAGAAAGAAGAAAAAAGAAAGAAAGAAAGAAAACGTTTGTTCAGAGTGATGCTGCCAACAGGATTTTACTGGTGCAGGTCTCCCTTTTAAACTCTGCCAAGTAAACGGGCCAAATCCCTACAGTCCATTCCATAACCTCACCAGGAACACCATCATGAATTAATAGTAAGTCTGAATTGCGTGATCATTTGTAAATAGCACTTCCTTAATTACTATCGAGAATTTGAAAAAACAAAACAACACACCACTAATGGTGAACCAGGTATGGCCTAGGAAAAACACTGACCTCTTTGTCACGCACAAGTTGACATGCAGCATATTCAAAGGGACATACTTCAGGAACGAGGTAGCCTGAGTCCTCATCTCTGTTCATTCTGTGCAGATTTGTACAGGTCACTTGAGCTTTTTACTCTACTCTTTTCTCATTTTTTAAAAAGATTTTATTTATTTGAGAGAGAGAGAACATGCACAAGTGGCAGGGGAGGGGGAGGGCAGAGGGAGAGGGAGAAGCAGACGCCCCGCTAAGCAGGGAGCCCGATGTGGGGTCTCACTGTGGGGCTCGATCCCAGGACCCTGAGATCATGACCTGAGCCAAACTACCTAGGTGCCCCCCTCTCTTTTCTCATTTTTGAAATGAAGGGCATATGCTAATAATCTCTATATCCTTTCTGGCTCCCATATTCTAATTTTACATCTCTAAATCATTTAAAGTAACACATTGTCTCCACATAAACTAATCTTGCTAAACTCCAACGTAACTTTAGTTGACTTGTTTAAGTAGGTTAAACATCCCCACATTAGGAGCTCTGAATCGTGGCCTCCCTATTAATTTTCTCATAAATAGCACAGAAGTTAAGTTGCAACCCAGTTTTGCCTGCAATGTCATAAAATCTAAATTGGTTGAATTTTAAATTGGTGAACTGTGAGTATGTGTTAGATTAAAACCCAGTATCGACGAATTGTGCATGTTCTTTCCTGGGTCATTTCCTCTTTCTCAGCACGATCTGCCCGGGAAATTGTAAATTGCCCACAGCTTCCATAGACATACCCAACTCCTGAAAGTCTGACTCCGGACAGTTTCTCTCCTGAGCTCCAAACTCATATTTTAAAAATAATCTTCACCACTCACTGAGCGTCTCTTACAAGTCTGGTGCTGAACTGTCATTTTAACAACATGGTTTCTGCCTTGACAGTTCCTCTGCAGGGCGGACCTTGTTATCTCTATTCTAGATGAGGAAATTGAGTCTCAGAGAGGCCTTGTAGCTGATCAGAGTCACGCAGCTGGTCGTTTTCAAAGCCCTGATTGGAATCCAGGTCTTGCCGCCTCAGAAATCCATGCCTCTGACTATTTTACTAGAATGAACAAAATAGATTAGAAATGCAAGATACTACATCATGATAACCGTTCTGGATCGAAGTTTTCCTCTTGGCATAAAGAGGGGCAGGTTGGCAGGAAAGGCATTCGGGCAGGGTGGACAAACTCTGAAATCTGAGATCAAGAGCAGAGGAAGGGGGAGCTATAAAGACAGGTCTGGGCCAGACTGGGAAGAGATTCCTCGGTCCAGAACAAGGAATGTAGGCTTCTATAGAACAACGTGGCTCATCACAGGGATTCAGGAGGGATCTGGGAGTGATGTCTCGCGTCAGTTTCATATTTTAGCAGAAACATTCTGGAAACGACTTTAAGAATACTGTAGAAAGAAATAGGGGTGAGAAGCAGAAAGATCATTGAGGAAGCTCTTCTCCTAGCCCACAGAGAGGCGATTCGGCCTGAATAGGACAATGACAGAAGGAAGGCACAAAAAAGGATGCAGAACTTGGCACACAATTAAATTGGGTAAGTGGATAAGGATGACATTACGAGGACCCCAAAGCAACTCTGATTTGTCTTTATCCTGCTACCCAGCGAAGGATGCGCCAACAGCACCCCTATTGCAAAGCCTGCCATCTCCTCAGAGAAAGTCACTGCCCTGGATTGTACCAGACCCAAAACATGCAAAAATAGAATGTCTGGATCCTACTGAATTATTTCTGGGT